CTAGGCATTTATATATGTAAATAGTAGTCTGGAATCTTTCCTTTAACCACATGAACTACATGCTATCATTATCCCCATTTTAGAGAAAAGAAGAGTGAGGCCATGACAGGTTAAGTGATTTCTAAGGTGTCACAGTTAAGTTGTGGCAAATGATGCTAGTGCAATTGGGGGAAGAAAAAAAAAAACTTCTAACTAAACCTCATACCATAGACAAAAATATAACTCAAAATAGATAACAAATCTAAATATAAAACCTAAAATGCTAAAATATCTAGAAGAAAACATAAGATAAAATCTCTATGATCTAGGGTTAGGTGAAGTATTCTGAGGCATCCATAAGCACAATCCAGGGCACAGTGGCTGATGCCTGTAATCCCAGCACTTTGGGAGACCAAGGCGGGAGGATCACGAGGTCAAGAGATCAAGACTGTCCTGGCCAACATGGTGAAACCCTGTATCTACTAAAAATACAAAAATTAGCTGGGCATGGTGCCATGCACATGTAGTCCCAGCTACTCAGGATGCTGAGGCAGGAGAATGGCTTGAACCTGGGAGGCAGAGGTTGCAGTGAGCCGAGATCGCGCTACTGCACTCCAGGCTGGCAACAGAGTGAGACTCCATCTCAAAACAAACAAACAAACAAACAAAAAATAGCAGAAAAAAAAAAGAAAAAAAACACAGGAAAAAAAACTAAATAAATTGAACGTCATCAAAATTAAAATATTTTGCTCTGTGAAAGACCCTAATGAGAGGATTTGGGGTTTTGTTTTGTTTTGTTTTTGAGACAGGGTCTGATTCTGTCACCCAGGCTGGGGTGCAGTGGCATAATCATAGCTCACTGCAGCCTTGATCTCTCTAGCTGAAGGAATCCTCCTGCCTCAGACTCCCAAATAGCTGAGACTACAGGCATGCATCACTATACCTGGGTAATTTTTTTCTTAAGATGATTTTAGAAAAGACAAGCCATCAACTAGAAGACAATATTTGCAAATCATATATCTGACAAAGAACCCATACTCAGAATACATAAAAGATTCACTAAACGTTACTACATTATGTAAACAGAATATGTAACATTCAATAAAGAAAATTAACAACCAATTACATTAGTAGGCAAAATATTTGAACAGATATTTGACCAAAGATACATGGATGGCAATTAAGCGCCTGAAAATACATTCAACGTCATTAGTCATTATGGAAAAGCAAACTAACACCCAGACAAGATTCCACTTCACACCTATTAGCAAGGCTAAAATAACAAAGTGGCCATACCACGTGCTGCCAAGGATAGAGAGAAGCTGGAATTCTTATACATTGCTAGTGGGAATATAAATTGTCACAGCCACTCTAGAAAATGGTTTGGAAGTTTCTTATAAAATTAAACATGTACATATATGAGTGCACAGTCCCACCCATGGGCATTTACCCTCTAGAAATAATGTGTGTTCACACACACACACCAAAAAAACATATAATAATGTTTACAGCAGCTGTATCTGTAATCATGAAAAACTGAAAACGTGCCAGACATGGTGGCTCATACCTGGAATCCCAGCCTCTGGGAGGCTGAGGCAGGAGGATCACTTGAGGCCAGGAGTTGGTGACCAGCATGCCCAACATAGTGAGAACTGGTCTCTTTACAAAAATATTTTAAAACTTAGCAGGGCATGGAGGTGCACACCTGTAGTCCTAGCTACTTGGGAGGCTGAGGTGGGAGGATTCAGAACAGGGATCTGAAAAAAAGATTCAGAACAGGGATCCCTGAAGAGAAAAAAAAAAAAATGATCTCTAGACTTATCCCAAACTTCCTTTATTTGAATAAGCCTCTATTTTACTTAGATGAGAAGAGCTAACATTTATAGAGTGCTTGCTATGTGCCAGGAACTGTCTCCAGTTTTTCTTTTCTTTCTATGTAGAGGCAGGGTCTTCCTCTGTTGTCCAGGATGGTCTTGAACTCCTGTGTTCAAGTGATGATCCCATGTCAGCCTCCTGACTACCTAGGACTACAGGCACATGCCACCACACCCAACTAATTTTTTTTAAAATGTTTTTGTAGAGACGGGGTCTTCCTATGTTGCCCAGGTTGGTAAGCATTTTATGCATATTAAATTATATAATTCCCAAAACAACCCTACAAAGTAGGGACTATTATAATCTTCATTTTATGGATGAGAAAACTGAGGCACAGAGAGATGTGCCAGGCCCCACAGCTAGGAAGTGAAGGAGCTATAATGTGGTCTGGCTCTAGAATTATGTTCACAACACTTTGCAATATAGTCTTATTACCATATTCTATAGCCTCCCCCTGATCTGCTCTTTAGTCACTGAGTCTGTGGTTTATGTTTCAGTTCATAAAAGTTGTATAAATAGAGAAGTCTTAAAGGATTTCCTAGATAAGGCTTGGTTATCTGTATAGTCTTCCACTTTTACAATTACTTCAAATCAGCAAGCATTTCCTTAATGCCAATCCTAGCACTAAGAACCAGGAACCCAGAGACAGACAAAGCACAATCCCTGCCCTCGAAGAACTCATTCTAGTGAAAGAGACTCAAATGGAACAACTGCAATTCAATGCAATAACTCGGACAGCAGAAAGATCAGAGAAGGCTTTCTAGAGGAGGGGAGACAGAAGTTGAGGATGTGAACTTAAAGTTTGCCAGGAAAATATGGCACGGAAGAGCACTTCAGGCAGATGGAAGTAGGTGCAAAGGAATGAATTGCGGGTGGGGGAAGCACAGAGAAATAAATGAGATGGAAAGGGAGAAAGAAATAGGAAACAGAGATAAAGAAGGAGAGAGATCATGGAACGACACATGGTTCTGCTCAGTAGGTGTGTTACTGGTTGCTATAAAGGACAGAGGCAAGGCCACAGAAGGAGTGTGGCCACACTGCACGGAGCACCTACTCCTCAGTCATGCTTCCCTTGTTCCATGCTGGCAGACTTAAACATAGCACAAAGAAAACCCCCTGAAGGCTGCCTTGGCCACCACTAGCCTCCCACCATCTAGCTCAGTACCTCTTACAGAGTGCCTCGTACCAACTGTGCTTTGTGATTTAAGATTCTACTTTATGACTTTGTTGACATGAAAAATTCAATTACCACTATCGGATTCCTGGAAAGACTTAAAAGAACAGCACTGTGATTTTCACAGGCACTGTCCAGAAGGGCTAACTTTTCACATTTGTAGAGGACTATACAACTAACGAAGATTTCACTCACATTATCTCGAGTAATCTGTTTTTTGTTTTTTTTTTTTTTTTGTTTTTTTTTGAGATGGACTCTCACTCTGTCGCCCAGGCTGGAGTGAGTGGCATGACTGACCTCGGCTCACTGCAACCTCCGCCTCCCAGGTTCAAGCCATTCTCCTGCCTCAGCCTCCTGAATAGCTGGGATTACAGGCTCACGCCAACACACCCAGCTAATTTTTACATTTTTAGTAGAGACAGGGTTTCACCATGTTGACCAGGCTGGTCTCAGGTGATCCACCCACCTCAGCCTCCCAAAGTGCTGGGATTACAGGCGTGAGCCACTGCACCCAGCCTTCTCAAGTAATCTTGATAACACTTGTTGGTTAGGTGCTCCTAAACCCACTATACAGAAGACGAAATGAAGCTTAGAGAAGTGAAGTGACCTAAGGTTCCTGCCAGAGTTCAAAGCGTATGTATCCACATCCAGCGCTTCTTCCACTATACCACAGCTGCAAGACTCAGAGGTTACACCTAGCTCCCACTTGCCCTAGACCTTCCTACCTGCCTCTAAGCCTCTCCAAGACTCACTTCTCACTTATAAAGCTCTCCTTCTCTTAGGCAATCCCATTGATAAACACCATGCCAAAACATAGTATGAGAAGTTTGTCAATGGCTGTCTGCTATCTAAATGAAAAATTTCAAAATCTAAATATATAGCCACTACCCCCTACACATGACACTTCCTATGCTCTCTTCTTTGTTTTATCACATTATCTGATCATACAACTGACTTATTTGTTTTTCATCCATTTCCCCGAATAGAATTCAAGTTCCTTGAGGATAGGGATTTTTTTGTCTTTTGCCCACTGCTCTACCCCCAGTGGTTGCAAGTGTGCTTGGCACAAATAAACATTCATTTAACGAACTATTCCATCTGACATGCAAGGCCCTCCACAGTCTGATTTGCACAAAGGTCTCCCAACCATCTCCAACCTATTTCAAGGTCCTTCCAACATACTTCCTGGCATTCCCACTCCTATCCATTGGATTTTATTTCCACCTAGGTTCACCTAGGTTCTGCTACAGACCACTTCTTTCAGGAAGCCTTCTCTCATCACTCCAACCTAACAGTACCAACCATCTGTGGCATGTGTATGGCACCTCTCAAGTGTGGCTCTACAAGGTCGACCAGACACACCAATTAGATGGCAAACTTCTTGAGGATAGGGTCAATCTCTCTCTCTCTTCTCTCCTCTTTCCTTTCTCTCTCTCTCTCTCTCTCTCTCTCTCTCGCTGTCTCTTTCTTTCTCTCGCCTCTCTGCAACCCATATCGCTTCTGTCCCAGTGTCTGGTATATGTAACAAGTGATTAATAAATACTGACTCAGTGACCTGTTTATGACAGAAAATCTCAAATTATAGTTCATGTAAATGAAAGGGAGTGAAAACTGTGCTTGGTCCTATCCTATGAACAAAATGTGACAGTGTTATGATTTGTTAAAAGCTATGGCACCAGGCCAGGCGCAATGGCTCACACCTGTAATCCCAGCATTTTGGTAGGCCAAGGCAGGTGGATCATTTGAGGTCAGGAGTTCAAGACCAGCCTGACCAACATGGTGAAACCCCGTCTCTACCAAAAATACAAAAATTAGCCAGGCATGGTGGTGCACGCCTGTAGTCCCAGCTACTCAGGAGGCTGAGGCAGGAGAATCACTTGAATCTGGGATGCAGAGGTTGCAGTGAGCCGAGACTGGGCCACTGCACTACAGCCTGGGCAACAGAGCGAGACTCTGTCTTAAAAAATAAATAAAAATAAAATAAAATAAAATAAAATGCTATGGTACCAGATGGCCTAAGTTAGAATCTAGGATTCACCATGTACAACCAGTTTGGATAGGAACAAGTTTTAAACTTCTACATGCCTCAGTTTCCTCATCTGTAAAATGGGAATAATATTAGTCCCTAATTCACAGGATGTTTATAAGTATTAAATGAGATAACAAAGGCAAGTACTCAGCCTAATGCACAGAATAAGCCCTCAGCAAATATTACTATTATTGATAATGAACTAAGTTTAAGAGTAGGCCTTCTTCATAATGGGTACAATGTTTCTTTTCAGAGTGATGAAAATATTCTAAAATTGATTGTGGTGATGGTTGCACAACTCTGTGAATATACTACAAAACATTGAATGAGACATTACAAATGGGTGAATTTTATGGTATGTGACTTTTATCTCAATAAACTTATTTTTTAAACCCCCCAAAAACAATAGATCTTTTATCTATAGATGAGTTGGAACAGAGAGTAGAACAGAAAAAGGGCTCTCCCCAAAAGCAAGTTATTAACACTAGTTGGTCAAAGCCCATAGAATTCATGAAGTCCACTTTTGTTTTCAGTGATAGGCAAGATCTCTGTAGTGTGTGGTCCACTTAGGAGGAGGAATGAGGGTCATCATACTAAGGATGGAGCTAACACTGAAAATGCTACTGAAGCCAAGTTCAGTGGCTCATGCTTGGAATCCCAACACTATGTGAGGCCGAGATGGGAGGATCACTTGAGGCAAGAGTTCAAGACCAGACTGGACAACATAGACAGACTCCATCTCTACCAAGAAATAAAGAAACAAAATGCTATTGAATAGGATCAGAAATGAAGGAGGAGAAAAATAGGTCACCTCTCATCTCAGACCAAGTGCAGACTGCTAAGTTGTCTCAGAGAGCACTTTGGCATGACCTAAAAGGAATTAAACAGGCAATGTTTGGCTGGGCATGGTGGCTCACGCCTGTAATCCCAGCACTTTGGGAGGCCAAGGTGGGCAGATCACCTGAGGTCAGGAGTTCGAGACCAGCCTGGCCAATATGGTGAAACCCTGCCTTTACTAAAAATACAACAAAAAAATTCGCCGGGCATGGTGGTGCACTCCTGTAATCCCAACTACTCATAAGGCTGAGGCAGGCGAATTTCTTGAATCCAGGAGGTGGAGGTTGCAGCGAGCCAAGGTCATACCATTGTAATCCAGCGTGGGTGACAGCGAGTCTCCATCAAAAAAAAAAAAAAAAAAATTGAATTTAGAATATAGGACCGTAGAATGAAAGAGCCTGGAAGAGAACCTTTAGCATCCTCT